AAAGAGGTCTAATACCTGACTAAATAGTTAGGTATTACATGTTTTAAAAATTATTGCTGCACATCAGTAGAAAATGGCTGGTTTAGATTATGTTTATTTTTAAATCATCTCCCACTTGTGATGTCATATCAAATTCTCTTTTAAAGTAAATTTATTCAAGTTAAAAATAACAGCTGATTCCAAAAATACTAAGTAAACCAATGCAGGAAATACGGCATTAGACACGTCCCTAACCTTGGGAGATGGTCTGGAGGGGGAAGGCAGCTGAGTGAGGGCAACAGCCCTCCCAAATGAGGGTGTGGTGGTTTCTGCTGGGCTGAACAGTAAGAAGTTTCAGATTTTTTTTTTTTTTGCAGATCTTGGACATCAAAATAATTTGCTATTATAAGAGCGCCAAAGAAAACAGAGCATAGTGTCTGTCTGCTGGGATGGCAGAATTTTTGGCAGGGGTGTGGAGGAAGGCCTCACCAAAGAGTTGACATTTAAGCTGAGAGGTAAACAATGATTAGAAATCTGTTAAGTAAAGAGAAAGGACAAAGGGTATTTCAAGCAGAAGGAACAGCAAGTATCAAGTGTCCAGGATAAAGGGAGCTTAGTGGTTGAGAAACTGACTAGAAGAGTGAGGGAAGATTACTTGCAGCCTGTGGGGATAGCTAAAAATTTGGATTTTATTTTTGGTGCAAAGAAGATATTAAAGTGTTAGAAGCAGGGAAATAAAAGGACTGGAATACTTTTCCCAAAAAGTGGCCTGGCTGGAAAATATATTATTAGAGGGAGACAGAAGTAGCCTGACACAAAGTGGTAGGGGCAGGCAGGTTGGAGTGGGGCTCAGCTGACCCGTAAACCAGTGTGGTGGTGACCTAGTGGCAATGTGAGCAGCGCCTGAGTGGGGCTCGGTCCAGCCCTGAAGACTGACCTGTGCCTCTGGTCACTTCCTTCCCAGCACTTTGTAAAGCACACAGTGATCCTGGCTCCCCTGTACAAGGCTGCTCTAAACTAGTGTGAGAAATCATTCCCTTCCTGCAGAGTATGTGTCTCTCTTCAGTCTTACACTTCTCAAAACCTCCAAGTCCCCAGGATACCTTCCTGGACCATTTAGATTAGTGTTGAGTTAGTTCATGATTTTGGATGTTGTCTCACTTTCTCTCTCTGTCACACACACACATTCAGCATCCTTCAAGCCCATGTTTCCTCCCTAAACACCAAATACTTTTTCTCTAAGTACTGGTTATTGAGCAGATAGTCACTCATTTTGGGCTTGTTAGGTGTCCTAATCAATCACTCCATGCTCTCACTTGATACCCCCCAAAAAAAAAAAAAAAAGTGTTGTGCCACCAACCTCTAGCCACCACTTTTGTTTCCTTAGAACCCTGAAGTTATTCAACTATTCCTTTGTATAAAAACATTAATTGCCTTCCTTCTTACTCTCTCTGTGAGAGATCTTATGAGCTGGAACCCTGGACTGATTTCTAGTTGGTGAGAACTTTAAGTGCAATGAAACTCAGCTCTTTGCCCTTTGCGGAGAGAAATTCAGGTAATCAGCAGAGCATTCATCATTTGATTAGCTGCCAAAGCTCTGACTTAAGCCTAACTTGCTTGAGTAAAACAAAAGATTTTTTTAGTGCTGCCAGTGGGGCCAAAGTGCTGAACTAAGCTCTTAATTAAAGGAGTATAGAATGTTGATGTTTAAGAATTTGTAACCCCCAAAAGTATTTATTAACTAGAAAATCACAGCACTGGAAAATAATTATGCCAAACCACTGTACTATAACAGAACCCAATTGCTTATCCAATTATACATTAAAGTATCACATTGTCAAGCTGATTGCCAAAGCAACATGTGAGACTTTGCCATCATCACAATTTGAACCAGATATTCTTCAACGGAGTGCACTGAAAATGGTCTTCAGAGCATCCTATACACCCTGTAAAACCTGTGCAAACCAAGGTGGGCAACTCACACCTGCCGTCAGAAAATCGCTGTAATTGGTTGGACATTAAAGTTTGCAGGTTTTCCATGGGAAGCTTGTTAGGAGTGGCTCAGAAAAGAACAACCCTGGCTTCTGGTCTTATTCAGAGTTGATTTCAATTAAAACATCAAATGAGTCACTTCCTGTCAATGGGGCAATCAGTGAGGCTAACTTGAAACCTGAAAAGGTTAAAGAAAGGGCCTCCTGGGTCTGCTGCACTGTCCCCTGGCTGGCCACCATTCCCAACTTTCTTAAGACATCAGGGCGGTTAAGGAACAGGACTTGGAAACCAGACTATGTATGGGGGGTCCTGGGCGGGTAACATGGGAATCACTACATTTGAGAATTATCTGCACAGAATGAAGTGCAATCTTGACTTATTCCTAGAACGCCCCACTGCTGAAATTTTCCTCAGAGCTTACTCTCGTGAGCTCCTATTTGTAAGGGATGATACTGATCCTGCCTTGTAGCTGAGCTTAGCATTTCAGATGGAAAGCTGGCAAGCTCATTATAGCAATAGCTCGACCAGTGGTAGAGCAATCAGTTGTTTTCGCCCAGTAGTTCATTCCTCTTCAAATTGTAATAAGCCCTCAACAATAGTTAATTTGGTAAAAAGCCTCCTCTCTAGCTCCCATGTTTATGGAGAATCATCATATCACAGAAATACCTATCTTTCTATCCTCACTGCTTACTGTGTCTGATACCCAGCAGCAGAATTTCCAAAAGCATTTGTCACATGTACCACTGAATTGCACTTTCCTTGTCCACTCACTTCATCCCCATTTTCCAGACGAAACATCTGAGTCTCCTAGAAACTTCCATCGCATGGCTAATTAGGAACAGTATTTGCTGGGATTAGAAATATAGTGTGTGGCTGCTAGAGTTCTCATGAATCCACTCTGTAAATTCTTGGGAGCATTCTTTTGCTTAATATTTTAGAAAACATGGTTGATAAGGCAGTATAGAAAAAAAACACTGAACCTGCAAAGAGAGATTACCCCCCATGCTGGCTGGGTCAGGGTCCAGCTAGGTGTCTCCTCTGGAAAGGCAATTACACCTCAGCACAGTCCTCAGTAAATAATGCTGATGACCAGCACCTGCCCCAAGCTCCATCCAGGCTGAGCTGTCCTGGTTTTTCACCAGGTAAGAAACCGGGGAAGCATCAGGAACTAGAGATTTCTACCAGTTTGATTTCCTCAGGCCTCCTGTTTCTAAAAACATGCTCACCGAGACATGAAATGAAAGTTTTTCTGAAAGAAAGTCTGTGATGCAGCAAACTTGGGAGAAGGAAACATTTATTCAAAAAGCAGTTTTCTTGGCCAGTCACATTCTGTAAGCCTTTCCCCAGTGTTTGGGATATTGGCGCTGGAGCGAGAGGGTTGTCCTTCATTCCTAGAGTGATGTCAACCTGTGGCACTCAGAATGAGGAAAGGGAAAAGGCAAAGGAAAAATTTCTGGTTTTGTTCGAATCTTCTAAACATTTATTTCATATGCATTATGGCTTCTTTTTTCAAAAGCACTTTAGAGAACCTTTAGAAGCACGGTCCAGGCAAGATAGCAATTCCTTAGGGCTGTGGAATGTCAGCACTGTGAGAAGTAAAGCCAACACAGAACATGCAATAAAAAATACATCACCATAAACATGGCTGCAGACTCCTGCTCAACACCATGTTCCAGGCAGCAATGACTGAGCTCTCAAGATAAAACCCATTTGGAGAAGCTGAACCGGTTTGGGGAGCTATACAATACAGGTCCCCTATGTGTCAGAAGCTTGTTTCTCTGCAGAACTCATTCAACTATTCAACTATGGTAGACAGTATTATGTCCAACATAGTACTATTACCCAAATAATTGCTACTGTGCATACTGACACAGTGAATCGCACTGTGCAGTAGAGAGCAAGCCAGACAAGGCTCAGTGCCTTGTAGGAGGTTTCCTATCTAGGAAAGAAGACAGACAAGTAGCAAGTAATCAAACCTATTACTACCATGAGAGAGAACAATAAAGAACACTACAAGACAATGTGGTCAGGAAAGACTGCTCTGAGGAAGCAACAGTTAAGCTGAGAGGGATCAGAGAGTGCAAATACCCTGAGGAAGGGCAGAGGTACCTGTGTGGTCTGTGAGCTGGCTGCAGAGCAGTGCTGAGGCAGAGGGAGGGAGGGCCTAAAGAGGGGGCAAAAGGCAAGCAGAGAGGAGAGGGAAACGACCTTCCTTGGGTACTAGAGGCCAGGAGAGGGATCGGTGATTTATTCAGTCACATTACCCTTGTCCAACACCCACTTTTGCTAGGCTCAGAAGAATGACAACCAGGTGGAGACGCAATAAGTGCAGACTCAGGGAGGGAGGGTGGAGAGGCCCGTCAGAACAGCTGGGCCCGGCTTTGGCTCTGAGCATGGGCAATGCCACTCGGGCTTCATTTGTGCTTCCTGGGCCTCTCCCTCACCTTAACATCAGGCCTGCTAACAGGAAACTTTCCACAGAAAAGCAGGTGAATGGCAAACTATTTGCACAAGTGGTGACCACCCTGGAGCAGGCTGACCTCGCAAACTTCTTTCCAAATGGTCACCATATGTTTGGCACAGCTACACAAACTACCCTAGCACCATCCGGCCAGGTGCCTGGCACCCACCCATGTGCTGGCAGATGAAAAATGGCTAATGTGAAATCTGTATTCCAAGGGTACTCACAACTCTGCTGGATTACTCAAGATCCCTTCTTTCTACAAGACTGCCATTCTGCCTCTGGTTACAAAAATATAATCCCTGTTTGGAGTAACCTGCCCTCTGTCACTCACAAATTCCTTCAACTCTGATGGAGCTGTTCTGATGCCCTTCAGAGAATTTGGCCTGTGTAAATTGCACAAAAAAATTAGGAGCCAACATTTTCCAAATGCCTCTCTCTATTTCATCTAAAAAACTTCTTTATCTTTAATGAAGACATAAAGCCTTGGATGTGGCTGAAACGCTAAGCTTACCATGTGTGACAGAACTTTGTTGCACAGGATTTCAAGTGTCTTTTTTCCCCCTGGTGTAGGGGGTATGGATGCAGTCCTCCACCATCACAAATTACACACTCAATGTTCCCACATTTGGGGAGATCACAGGGGTCAGCACACCTGGGGTGCAGTGGACAAGCCTCACCCTGGGAAAACCACCTTTGTGGTCATGCTATCTCCCCTGCCAGGTTAGTATAAATATGTTTTTTATCTTTTTAAGCCAGAATACTTCAATGGAAAGAAACTGAGGTTTCCTTGTTGCAGACTCAGTTGTATATAACCCATAAGAGACAATAATCCAGAAATAAGCAGAGATATAAGGCAATTGCAACACATATGCTTCCCCATCACAGTGAAAAATTAAAAATGCAATTCCAGGCTTGTGACTGTTTCAAAGCATCAGTCTAGAAAAGAGATACTCTCACTTTTTCAGCTTCCTAGTGTGCATATAACCTCCCAATTATTCATTACTGAGATGCTCAAGAGGCACTGTAGAAAGAGCCAAGCCTGGGATTAATATTTATACTATAAATGTAAATAGTATATAAATAAATAATACATATCACAATATAAATTATAAATATACAAAAATATAAATAATATAATTATTTATATATAGAAATCCTAGGCTTGGCTCATATACATATATGTAATATAGCTGGATTTTTATAAATTATAGTATTTGATATTCCTATTAAAGCTGAAAATATTATTGTTGGGAGTTACACCTGTATGAATGAAAAACCCATAAAAATCTTTTAAGACTCCTAATCTTTTAATTAATCTCACCTCAGTGCCACTAAAGGGTTTAAGGAAGTTTATTTGGTTGATTTTAAAGGATAAAGAATCAAAATGATTTAAAATAGTTTTTTATTATTTCAGGTATCAATGTAAAGGCCCCAAAACAAATATTTTTTAAAATGCTTGTTCCTAGAGTCAGTGTTTGATACTTTTACGCTTCCCAGTCCAGGTATCTATGGGACACCAGCCTCCCTTCTGCCGTTGTTCCCAAGAGGTACTCATGCCCTGGCTTGAATGCTCCAGGGATAAGGCTCAAAGTACTCCCTGAGCCTGTCAGACCCTTACCTGACTAGCTGTGCCACGACACCATTGTCCTTCACTCTAAGTCTGAGTCTCCCTTCCCCCCATTCTACCCGTAAGTCCCAGCTCCAGTGGTTAAAGTCACATAGGGCAAGAACAAATTGGTGAATTTGAGCCTTACCTAAATCAGGTAATATGGTGGGCTTGAGAGGATGTGGACCCTTAGGGTCACTCTGGCATCACTAGTGAGAGGGGATACTAGTGCAACCTCTTTAGAAAACAATTTGGTTTATCTCCTAAAGCTGACATTCACAAAACCCTATGGCCCAGCAGTACTATTCCCACCATACACCTGAAAGAAATTCCTGCCCACCACACATGAGACTGTTCAAAGCAGCTCTGATTAAAATACAAAATACCTGGAAATGACTAATATCCATCAGAGGGTAGAGGAATAAACTATGATATATGATACAATGGAAATATGATACAATGGAATATTAGACAATGATACAAAACGATTGCTTGGTAGAGACAATTAACCCATATGAATGAATCCTAATAACACATTATTAAAGAAAAGAATAACTACCAAAAGATACATAGAGCATGATGATTTTTTGTGAAGTTAAAAAACCCCTCAAAAATATACATTCTAAGAATTCATAGAGATGCCTAGACCTATGCTAAAAACAACAACAACAACAACAACAACAAAACTGAAGCAATGAGGACCATGGGATTCAGGATGCCGGATTCCTCAGTGTTGGGGGAGGAGGGTACTGGGCAAGGGTTGTTGTGTGGGCCTGTCGTACGGTGAGATGTAGGGTATTATCAAAATTGTACCTTTTGTTTTGAGTGATGATTTGCAGATACTCATAAGTCATTGAACACTAATTAAATGACTATGTAAAAGCAGGCCATAAATGAAAAACAAGCAAAAATGGCCATCTTTGGGCAACATGTAGGACTGCAACATAGAAAAATCGCAATCTTCCTTACTATGGAAATCCCGCTTCCATTCTGAGAACCTCCATAGGATTACAGCATCATAGCATTTGCCATGTGAAAGCACTGGAGTTATTAATTGAATTCCAGATGTCTGAAATTGATGTATCCCTTCACTGAATCCCCCGTAGGATTTATTTTCGGTATAACACTTCACACAGGATGCTGTTCTTAATTAAAACTACTCTGCCTTAAGAGCTTTATGTCTGTGAGACAGTCATCCAAACCTTCTCCTCTTCATAAATTTGCTCTTATGTCCTATTTCTGAAGCAAAAGTAATACTTGCCTGGATTTTAATAAACATGTCTGCAGTAGTAATATAAATTTTGCATGCTTTCTACATTTCATAATTGCTTTAGCCCTTTTATGTAGATGGGGTTTCTTACACCAGGACTGTATTTTAAGGGCTTTGAAGTTCTAGCTCCATCTCAGCTTCCACCATTTGAGGACAACAAATGGTCTGCTGATTGGTATATAGGCAGGAAGCAGACATGATGTTGAAAAAAAAGCCATTAATTTCCAAGCTATTTGCTCTTCTCCCTCTTTAATTTTTGATTTTGGCAATAACTGACTCTAGTTCATTGACATTAGATGAAAGCCTAGTAGCTGATTTATCAGTCCAAGATCTGTGAGTGTTCCTAATTGGTAACTCAGACTGTGTCAATCAGATGCCAAAATTCAAAATTTTTAAAATTTTTTGGCATCCCAAAGGCAAAACAACCCACTGGTTGGCTGTCCTTTCAATTTGCAAATAGTTATTTGGGTCCTGAGTGGAGAGAGAGCTTGACTACTTATAGAAGGAGTCAGATTCAGGACTTAATAATTCAGCCAAACAGCAGCTAAATCTTGAGAAACAAATGCTGCTCTTTAGAAAACTGACCCCTCTCCCTAGCCGAAGGAGAAATGTTTTCAGTCCAGTAACAGTGGCCTTTCTGTTCTAGGGAAGTGAAAACGTCAAAGAATAGGAGCCCAAGAATAATGACAGCACAATTGTATTGTTGTTCTATTTCTATTGTTATTAATAGATTTCTATTAAGCGCTTGCTAAGTTCCAGGTACCAGGTTCTGGTACAGAAATTATCCATTTAATCCTCTTAACAGTGTCATGGTGCTGTCATCTCCCTTTTCAGGTGAGGAAGGTAGGCCCAGAGATGTGACCTTACAGCTATGGATGGTGGGGTTCTAGGGCCCCCTCCCTCAACCTTAATTGTCTCATGGACGGTACTAACCATCTGCTGAGAAATAGAGACTAAGTTGAAGTGTCTAAGTCAAAGCACTTTTGCATATAGAATCTCAATGGATCAGCTTTGAGCTGAAAGAGGCACAATATTATTGTCCCCTTTTTGCAGAAGAAGCAACAATGACCCAGGAAGATCAAGTGAGTAACTTGAGTCTTACACAGTGTTGGACAGAGAACATTCACATGCTTCTCTACTAAAAAGGACCCTCAATTAAAAATAACAGGGGTGGCCTGCATTTAGTTTCTGAACTGGAACATAACTGAGGAAGAATATACAAGGGGCCCTCTTGTTTAAAAAGCAGAGTTAAATTCTAGGTAATAGCCCAGGGCAGTTTCAGCTCAGTCTCCCGACCCTTTCCTTCTAATGCTCTGATCCTGAGTGATTTGGCCCTTGACACAGCTTTTTTGGTATGACAGGCTCTTACAATTTCACCTTCATCTCTCAATCCTTTGTGTCAGTCCCCACCCTATTACATAGAAGTGGTTCCTTAGACAGCCTGCCTTGTCTCACCACCAGCCCTTTGCACATACTATTCTCTCTGCATGAAATACATTCCTTCCCCTGCTCCTCCAAGGCTTGACTAGGATACCCTTTCATGTGGTTCCATTTCAGGAAATTTATTCTTGGATGAGTGTCTTCTAATTTGTCTATCTTTCCCACCAAATTATAGGTTCTATGAGGGCAAAATCATATCAATTAGCAATATTCAATATTTTCTTAAACTACCAAAACATCAGTATCACATGGTTCCAGCCAATACCTTAGCAATGACCTTACAAAATTAGTTCTAGGAACATAGTAGGTATTCACTTAATATTTCTTTCCAAAATAAACAACCACTTCAGATATTCAGAAGGCTGGCACAATTATAGCCATCCTTAGACTCAAAGAAGAGTTTATGTTCTCAAAACAAAATGTTACAATACTAATGCAGAAACAGAGACATATGCAGTAAGAAATAAACAGAACAAAATAAGATTTCTTTGTAGCTCTCATCAATCTGAAATTTAACTATATTTACTTAATGTATTTTTAAAGAATCTGAGTAGAAAGCCAAATCTTGAGTGTCCCTAGTCCTAGCCCATGGATCACAATGGCATTTCCCTTTTTCAAGGATGACTAGAGAGAAAGCCAAACAGCCAGCAGAAAGGCAAATGAAAGATATGTTCATACCTGCTCAGAGGTCAGCATCCTACCCTTATTTGTGACCCATAACTAATAACAATTTTATTGTTTCAGAGGTTGGATAGTCACCGAGAAAGTTGACCTCTGGCTGTCCCAGAGCTACTCATCCTTTGAAGAAGCTTGAAAAAAGATGGAAACGGGCAGAGGCTGTGTGGGGAGTATGTTTTGGGTGAGCTGTGAGCGTCCCTGACCACAGCTCTTTCCTGAGCTGGCCCAGCTGTGATGCCTGCAGACCTTCCAGCCGGTGGGTGACTGAGGCGGGTGCCTGCATCGCACCCTGCAGGAGGCCTGGCGTCACACCTGCAGGCTCTGCACATTTCCTTCTCATTGTGGACTCTTCCACAGGCTTCTGGATTGTGTATGTGCACAGTCTGGATCAAATGGACGGGTATTTTTGGCCTCTGCTCACTGTGTATTACATTTTTAATCAGTATATATAATTACTTACCACAAGCTGCTGGGCCAGATTTTCTGAGCATTGGTCTAATTAACTTAAGCTTGATAATTATGTTTCAGATACCATAGCAGTATGCATGGAATTTGTAGATTATGCTGCCAGCTTATTTGATTCCAATAACATGTTTTCTTTGACAGTGGGTTAGTTTTTATTTTTTTAAATGGCCATCTGATAATTATTTAGGTTTCAAAGTTTCCCCTCAAACAAAATCATTCTGCTATTTAAGACAGTTTCTCTAATAATTAACACAGACTAGACTGAAATA